TTCTACAGTCTTATTCATTGTCCACCTTTTACATACATGTGAGGTGGTTGAAAATAGTACAGTTTCGGTCAGGTGCACCTTAGTCCTCAAACTGGTATTTGTGCTCTTTAACACTTTAAAGGGGTATTTTGCAGCAGATTTGTCTACTGCAACACATCTTTTGGCTCCTTGACTGCTGCTTACATGAATGTTGATTGTGGACCCAAGCAAAATGAAGTCTTGGACAACTTCAGTCTTTTCTACATTTATCATTATGTTATTGGTCCAGTTGTGAGGATTTTTATTTTCTTTATATTGAGGTTGTAGTCTTTGTCTTCATCAATAAGTATTTTAAGTTGTCTTTGAGTCCAGTAAGCAAGGTTGAATTATCTGCATATTGCAGGTTGTTAATGAGTCTACCTCCAATCCTAATGGCACATTCTTCATATAATCCCGCTTCTCCAATATCTCAACATACAGATTGAGTAAGCATGGTGAAAGGATACAACCTTGGTGCACGCCTTTCCTGATTTTAAACCATTCATCATCTTCTTGCTCTATTCTAGACACTCTTTGTCTATATGCAGATTTCTCATGAGTACAATTAGGTCTTTTGGAATACCCATTTTTCACAATGTTATCCAGAGTTTGTTATAAGTTACATAGATGAAAACTTCTACATAGTTAATAAAGCATAAGTAAACATTTTTCTGCTATTTTCTCCTTTCACCCAAGATCCATCTGGTGTCAGCAATGATATCCCTGGTTCTGTAACCTCTTCTGAATTCAGCTTGAATTTCTGGCAGTTTCCTGTCAATGTTCTTTTAGGTCTATGAATATTATTCTATCACAGACAGCATTGTACTTTAAGATAAATCTTGAGATGTTTATGTTGACCAATATTATGCCATTACTCATCAATTTGTCATTCCCATCATAGTAAACCATATGATTGTCTAATTCAAAATGGCCAATATTAATCCATTTCAGTTCACTAATGCCTAGGACATTGATCTTTATCCGATCCATTTCATTTTTGTCAGCATCCAATTTTCCTAGATTCATATTTCCTACATTTCATGTTCCAATTATTAATAGATGTTTTCAGCTATTTTTCCTTATTTTGAGTTGTGCCCCATCAGCAAATGAGGGTCCAGAAAGCTTTACTCCATTCTTGTAATCACAGTTAACACTACTTTGAGGAGGCAGCTCTTCTACTGACATATTTTGAGTGACTTCCAACCTGAGGGGCTCATCATCTGGTACTGTATCTGACAACGTTCTGCTGCTGTTCCTGATGTTTTCATCTTCTGGCACCATAGCTCACAGTGTCCCACTGTTATTCATAAGGTTTTGGGTGGCTAAAGCTTCAGAAGTAGTCCATCTCTCCTTCCTAGTCTGTGTTTGTCTGGAAGCTCCCCTGAAACCTCTCCACCATGAGCGACTCTGTTGGTATTTCAGGTACTGGTGGCATAGCTTCCAGCATCACAGCAATACAGCAATCCACGAGCCACCACAGTACAACAAACTGATATACTGTATTGTAAATACAGTAGTGGTGGTGGTGGTGGTGGTGTGCTGTGGAGTCAATTCTGACTCATAGTAACCATGACACAGGGTTTCCGAGGCTGTAAATCTATACCGGAGCAGAAAGCCTTGTCTTTCTCCCATGGAACCGCTGGTAGTTTTGAACTGCTTGCTGTGAGGTTAGCAGCCTGACTCGTAACCACTACTCTATATATCCAATTTCTTATCATGATTAACCTAATGTAAACGTCCATTCCATTATGAAATTTGTCATGCACATAGTTTCATGATTTGTGTCTGTGTTCATATGTTTGTGTGTGTTCCATGGTTTACTTTAAAATGCCCTAATTATTTCAAATCAGGCTGCGAACCTCAAGGTCAGCAGTTCGAAACTACCAGCTGTTCTGGGGGAGAAAGATGAGGCTTTCTGCTCCCGTAAAGATTGACAGTCTCAGAAACGCTGTACAGGGTCGCTATAAGTCAGAACCAACTCCACAGCACATAACAACAACAACAACAATTGCTAGATATTTTGATGGTTTCCAAAACTATTGGTAGAAATATTTTAAAGCAAACGAACTTTACAGTGATTTGGATTATCTGCAAGAGTCTTAGTATCATTAATTGTATTTCCAGCTACTGTGCAAAATGGAACTTTACTCCTTTGAATACTTTCATTATTTCAATTGTTGCCTTATTTGGTTGGCCAAAATGATTGTCTTTAATTTTGAATTTAATTTGCTCTGATTACTAGAGAGTTGACCATTTTCTTCTATGTTTTTAATCAGTTACAACTGTAAATCGTCTGTTCATGGATCCCTGATATGGCAATGTAAGATAAGCACTGGAATGCTAACTGCAAAGTCAGCAGTTCAAACCCACCAGCTGTTCCATAGGAGAAAGAGCTTTCTACTCCAGTAAAGATTTACAGCCTTGGAAACCCTGTAAGGGGCTGCTAGAAGTCAAAATCAACTTGATGATGTGAGTTTGGCTTTTTAATTTTATGTCCCCTCATTTACTGAGGTTTTTGTATTGATTTTAGGGAGTTTTCAATACACCTAAACAGTACTTAACAACAACAACAACATTAACCCCTTATACATTTCTCTGTCTCTTTTCTGGGAGTATTTCTGTCGTGTGTTTTACTTTGGAATATATATGCGTGTATATATATTTGTTGTGAAGTTAAGTCTATATATCCATATATATATTTTTAAATGCATGTGTGTACTTGATGGCACTTAACAACATTTCTAATTCATAGAGACTCTGTATAGGGTTTCTGAGGTGTGCCTGATGCATTTGAACCCCCAAACTTGTGGTTAGCAGTCCTGTGCTTATGTTACAGCATTATACCAGGATTGTTGTTGTTAAGTGCCGTCGAGTCGGTTTCGACCCATAGCGACCCTGAATAGGGTTTCCGAAGCTGTAAATCTTTACGGGAGCAGATCGCCTTATCTTTCTCCCGCGGAGCAGCTGGTAGTTTCGAACTGCTGACCTTCCGGTTCGCAGCCCGATTCGTAACCACTACGCTACCAGAGCTCCTTATATACCAGGATACCCTCCTCAAAATAAGACTCCATTTTCCCCGTGTCTGCTACAAGGGCTTCTAGTGGTCGGAATGGACTCCGTCCGTGGCGTTGGCTTTAGTTTTGGGTTGGACTGTGTGGAGTCGTGGTGTGGCGCTACAGGGTAAGATGTTAGACTGCAAGGTCAGTTTGAGTAGCAAGGTGGGCAGCTCAAACCCACCAGCTCCTTCTAGGGGACCCTATACAGGGTCACTATGAGTCGGAACCAACTCGACGGCACTTAGCAACAACAAACTGCTAACCAATAAGATGTCAGTGCAAGTGTGACAGACCATATGGGAAGACTACCATATGGGAGTGACTCAGCGAGCCAAGCGCCAAACCCACTGCCACCATTGCTATATAGTTGATAGTTACATAGTGACGCTGTGTAGGGATTCTGAGTGTAAGTCCGTATGGGAGCAGAAAGCCTCCTTCTCCCATGGAGTGGTTGGTAGTTTTGAACTGTCACCCCTGCAATTAGCAGTTCAGTGCTTAGACTAGTGCACCACCATGTCAGAGCAGATGGGTGGAATTTAGCTTTTACCCTGTACTTAAAAGCTTCAAACACAAAGTGAAAATGAATTTAAATTTTTTTTAAAGTATCTGACATTTTAACTTGAGGGGTGTCTGAGGAGGAGAAAGGAGATGTGGGAGGTGGAGAGTTGATTAATTTCCTGAGAATCTCGGACTGCTTTACAATGCTTACATAACGTGCTCGTGGTGGTAGAGACTGACTCCCTTATGTGTTTTCTACAGTGACGATTTCCAAGATAAAAAAGGATAGGTGTAGGAGTATTTCACTTTATAGAACCCAAGATGCAGACTCTCTTCCTCCCCTCAGTGTTGCCTTAGCTCCAATCCACAATGTTTCAGGATTTAAAATCGGTGCCGGAGGATTTCGAAGTGTCTGTCTATGGCATTAGAAAGACTGCATTTTACCTAATCTTGGACGGAGTTAGCTCCAGTTTGGAATTTGCTGGCAGAAAAGATGACTATCAGTACAGATTTCACTAAAACGTTCCTCGCAGGGTGCCAATTCCCTGGAGTCCTGGGCGGTGGGAGCCCTGGTCCCTAAGGAGCGAGAGGGGCGTGGCTCGTCTTACAAACTGTGTCCGTAATTGGCACATTGGCTCCCGCGGCGTGGGGCTACCGCGACGTCTAGCCTACCAGAACCCCAGGCGAGTGCGGACCTATAAGTTTGTCCACTGTGGGACACCGTAGTGTCTTACTTAGGCAGAGCGTGCTGGGCTGGGCGCCTGGTTCTCCGCTCAGTCCAGAAAAGTACTCTGATGGCTGCGGTCTTTCTAGCGACGCTCTATGAATACTCCCCTCTTGTCTACATCGCAGTGGTCTTTACCTGCTTCATTGTGACCACCGGCTTGGTATTGGGACGGTAAGTGTCCCAGGGATAGGGGCAAAGGGGCAGATACAGGGGTAAGGGAGCGCACTGGAATGGGGCGCCGGTGGGGAGGGGGAGACTGAGGTTGTCTGGGGCTACAGGAGCTCGTACCAAGGGTTGCCATTGGGTTCCAGCTGGTCCCGGGAGGAAAACAAGGTAGACACCTCACCTGCGTCACCGCCCTACACTTCCGTCCGTCCCCATTGCTGCGGGCATCTGTGGTAGTGCTGGACTGGGGTGTCTGACCTAGCTTTGTTTCCAAGTCATAAAGCAGCCGGGCTTCAGTTCCGGATTGGCGCCTACTGCGTATTCTGTACACGAAGTGAATCGGTCACCTGCACACAGTGCACAAATGTGCCTCGGGGCCTTGGAACTGGACGGTAACAGGGTTGCCTTGTGCTGCTGGCCTGAGCCAGGCTTTGGCCGTAGCTCTTTCTGGGTAATTTGTAACTGAGCTCTTTTTACCATTTGAGAACTTAAATGGTTTCTACGTGTATTTCGAAGTATAATTTAGTCGATAGAACTATGAAATCATAATTTTAGAGTTGAAAGAGAGCCTAGAGATTACTTACACTAATGGGTACAGTTTACTTTTTTGAGTCAAAAAGAATAGACTGGTTAGGTCTTCCTTGAGCTTTTAGCTCAGAAATTCTAAAGTTTCTCTCTTGAGGAGATGTCACTGTATCATGTTTAGAGAAACCTTATCAATAAATACGAGGGAACTAGTTGAAACTGTCCTACTAGAACACAGTCGTGTTTTTTTCCCCCCTAAGCTGCAGTTTCCAAAGTCCCTTTTGAGAAGATGGTGGTTCCAAATGGATGGAACAGTAGTTTTAAATGGGTAGATTAACAACTGTGGCCTAAAGAGGTCAGTGGTTCTGCTGAGGGGAGGGACAGTAGCTGATTTTTTTATTTTTCTGTAGGCTGAGAGAGAAATGAATAGAGGAATGCTTTCTATCCATTCATTTCCCCAGCCCATATCAATGTATGGAAGTTTAATGAACAGAACAGGGACGCTGCCCTAAACAGAACTCAACACTTTGAAAATGGCCGCTGAAATTTTAAGAATGAGTATTTTGAAAAATAAATGGACTAGAATGTGTATAGTAGAAAAGAGAAAACATTGAGGAGAACACAGTATGAACAGAGGGGTGTTAAGAGAACTTGTCAATGAGTATAGCAAACTGTAAAATGAGTTGAAAATTACACTTTGGTTTCATATATATATTTAAAGCACTGCTGAGTCCTGTGGTCAGTTCTATTCTTGATGTATCACTGGAGGTGCTATGTCAAGAAATTTGTAAGACAGCTACCTGGCTAACTGATTGGACCCACTCGAAAGAAAGGTGACTCATCGAATGTAGATATCATTGAACAATATCATTAGTATCATATGCAAGTAAAATTTTGCTGAAGATCATTTAAAAATGATCACAGTAGTATATTGACAAAGAACTACCAGAAATTCAAGCCAGATTCAGAAGTGGGCGTTGAACTAGAGGTAGCATTGCTGACATAAGATGGATCTTGACTGAGAGCAGAGAATACCAGAAAGACATTTATCTGTGCTTTATTGAGTATGCAGAGGCTTTCAAATGTGTGGATTATAATAAACTGTGGATAACATTTCGAAGAATGGGAATTCCAGAACACTTAATTGTGCTCCTGAGGAACTTGTAAATTTGAACAGAACAAGGAAATACTGAATGGTTTAAAATCAGGAAAGGTGTGCACCAGGGTTGTAGCCTTTCACTGTACTTATTCAATCTGTGTGCTGTGCAAATAATCCGAGAAACTGGTTTATATGAAGAAGAACATGGCATCAAAATTTGAGGAAGATTCATTAACAACCTGCGATGTGCTGATGATACAACTTTGCTCGCTGAAAGCAAAGAGGATTGCAATACTTACTCATAAAGATCAAAGACCGAAACCTTTAGTATAAAGAAAATAAACATGAAACTGGACCAATACATAACATAATTGGAGAAAAGATTAAAGTTGTCAAAGACTTCAATTTGCTTGAATCCTCTATCAACTCTCATGGAAGCAGCATTCTAGAAATCAACAATATATTGTATTAAGCAAGTCTGCTACACAAAACCTCTTTAAAGTTTGAAGACTAAGGGGCACCTGACCCATGCCTTGGTATAGTCAAACGCCTCATTGTTGTTGTTAAATGCCATCAAGTTGGTTCCTATTCATAACGACCCTGTATAGGGTTTCCAAGGAGCAGCTGGTGGGTTTGAACTGCCAGTCTGTGGTTCGCAGTTCAGTGCTGATCCTACAGTGCCACACCAAGAGTTCAAATACCATGTTAAGTGGCACTGAGTGGGTTCCGACCCATGGCGACCCTCTAGAGAGTTTCCAAGGAGCGACTGGTGAGCTTGAACCACCAATCTTGCAGTTCAAACCAACTGTGCAGTATAGCTCATTAACCTTCAGTGCCACACCAAGACTCAAAATGCCATTGTTATTGTTAAGTACGATGGAGTTGGTTCCGACTCATAGTGACCCTGCATAGGGTTTCTGAGGCTGCAAATCTTTACGGGAGCAGAAAGCCTCATCTTTTTCCCACGAATGGCTGGTAGTTTCGAACTGCCGACCTTGAGGTTAGCAGCCCAATTCGTAACCACTACGCTTACCAGAGCTCCAAAACACCATAAGTGTGTGAAAATTGGATAGTGAAGGACAAAACAGGAGGACCATAGAATAATTGATGCATTTGAAGTATGGTGTTGGAGAAGACTATTGAAAGGACTAATGACTCCCAGAAGAACAAACAGATCTGTGCTGGAAAAAGTACAGCCAGAATTCTCCTTCAAAGCAAGGATGGTGAGTACTATAGACATATTATCAGGAGGGATCACTCCCCAGAGAAGGACATCATGCTTGGTAAAGTGGAGGGTCAGCGAAGAAGAGAAAGACCCCCAACGAGATGGATAGACACAGTGGCAACAACAACGGTCTCAAACGTAACAATTGTGAGGCTGACACAGGACTGGGCAGTGCTTGGTTCTGTTGTGCGCAGGGGCGCGATGAGTTGAAACTGACTTGAGGGCTCTTAAGTAACAACAGTTGATAATTGCAGTATATGTTCAAATTTTTATTTGAAATCAGCTTAGATTTATCTGGAGTATTGGGAAGAGGGAAATGAATGAAGCCCTTACTGATAATAGTGGTAGAACTCCACCTGTGGTTGGAGAGTAGTCAGGAATTTCATGTTTTGTAGCTGTTAAGAGACAGTTTTAGGAGTCCAACAGACTCAGGTTTAAATCCTGACTCTGTCAAGTTTAAGACTTGGATTGAAAATTTATTGATTGCCTCGCCACTCTGTGACTTTTCCAAAGGCTAGAAGTCCAGGTGAAGTCCTGGTGCGATGTGGGTTAATGCGCCAGCAGACTGCAAAGCCCTTTGAACTGCAAGATCAGTGGTTCAAGCTCACCAGCTGCCTTCTGAGCTTTATTTTTGGACAAGTGCTACCCTTTTAGTCCCCTGTGGTTGATTGCTCCTGGTGTTCTTATTCACTTTACAGGACTGTCTATTGTCTGGCTGAAAGTTGATTCTGTGGGTGGGTTCAGTTCCATGTTTGAAGGATGTCTAAGCTCACAATTTTGGGGTTGTCTTTATTTGTTATCTCAGAATATAATCTCTGTTGGTCATCAGTCTTCTCTGTCATGGTTTTTATAGCCTCAGTACACTCTGAGATTCCTTCCCATTTCTTTTTTCCATGACTGCTTCCCTTATCCACCCTTACTGTGTGGGAGTGAAGACAGAGCAGGAACATCTGCTTACTGAAATCCCAAAAGCAGAAGCAGAGGCTCATGGGACTGGAAGTATGGTATTTCTGTTGAACTATGTGATGGATTCTGTGAACATGCTCCAAGCAATAGCTTGCTTTTGTTAAGCACTTGCTTTTTGCCAGGCACTGGGCAAAATGGAGCTCAAATTGCCATATTCATGCTTTAAGAGGTATAAATAATCAGGAATCTTGAGTCCGCAGCTACTCTTGGGGCTATTGTCTCTCAGCTGGCTTCAAACTGCCCTCGGACACTCTGTATTGTGATGCTGGGCCAAACCTCTAAACCACATGTTTCCTTTGACAGCGGCTGTCTGAGAGGCTTTGCTGATGTGGAGGGGCATTGGAAAGCTAGAAGAGGGTGCCACTTCCTAGTCACTTGTCACTTCCTGTTCTTTTCCTTTTCTTGTCTGCCTCTCCACCACTATAGTGCCTCATTCTGCAGTAACAGTTGGCCTCAGTGGAGCAGTTGTTCCAGTTTATAGCTTATGCTTACCCAGAACCAGCCTCATTGCCCCCAATTCCCTTCTTAAAGATACTAGTATGCTCTCCCCAGATCTCGGTCCCTCCTCCATATTTCTAAAGCTGAAGCAATTCTCTTTTTTTCCTGGTCCTCAGAGTGGTAGCTGCCTCCTGCTGTTCCTATTCTTTGATACTCAGTGATTCCTTTTTGCCTTTTGAGTTCTTCAGTGTCTGGTTAACATTTTTTATATCTCTGTTAAAATGACAGGTTCTGGTTTAAAATTCCAGGAATGAGATCCTGGAAACGAAATCTTCAAAGATGGAATTTGGGGTTGACTAAGTCATGTCTTCATGGGAAAACAAGATTCTAAGTCATGTCATCATGGGACAACAAGTCCGTGGCATGCAGTCATATCATAGTTTATCAAATTATTACTTTTGGTTGATTGTGATGAAATGATTTCTGAAACAGGTGTCTTGGGTCGAGTGGCTGGCCCACTTGACTGTGAAGGTAGTAATGCTGGCCACAGAGACTGAGAGAGCATTAGGATGATTGCTTCTGAATTCACTGGAGTACTGACAGGAAGAAAACCGTAATTCCGCATCTTTAAACACTCTACTCAAGTCTTTGAAAATCAGAGAGTTGCTATGCTGTTGTTAAGTGTTGTCGAGTCTATTCTGACTCATTGCAATGCTGTATAAAGTTTTCAAGGAGTGGCTGATAGGTTTGAAC